TGGTTTCTGTCTTTTCCCCTGGTTTTCAGTTTTCATTTATTTTGCTATTTAATCATTTTAAAACAACTTTTTTATTTTTAATTAGCCACATCACATGCTCATAACGTGAAATTATACACTTGGACCCTGGATGTGTTGTTTCACACGCTCATCTGGTATATTTAAATTTCTCTTAATTTCACTCTTTTTTTCTTTAAATAATACATGAATCAAAATTTGACAACTTCATACTTTAATTGAAAACAAATGTGTTAATAATTAATTTAATTAGGTAAAAGTTAACTTGATATAGAAAAAAAAAAAAAAAACAAACAAACAAACAAAAAGAAAAGGGCTAATTGAGTCCACTTTATATGCCAAGTTGGTGTTAGTGCGGTATTAGGGTTTTATATAATATAAAGGCTACTTTTACAAAGTGCTTAAAGGTGAGCCCCGCCATAATAAAAAAAAGTCAAGTTAAATATTTAGTGACGTCAAATTTTTCTATAGTCATGGATCGAACGGTTACGGTCACCATTCCTTTACTTATATATTGGTTTTGAATATTCTTAAATTGTTGGAATATTTTAAAAGTCAAGAAAACGACACAAGATACCGATTATGTTATATTCCGTTCCAATTTTACGTCCAAGTAGCATTCTATATGCTGTTTAAAAATTAATAAATAAAAATAAATAGACCTCCCGTATTTGAAAAAAAGAAAAAAAGAAAAAAAAAAGTGATGTATTGTTGTTTTATTAAAACAATAAATGATGGAAAATTAGTAAATAAGGAAGGGAGAAATGATTTTCTCGTCAAACTCCGATCACAGTAATTACGGATTCTAGCCCACGAGAATCCACAGGCATCAGCGCACTCCAAAAATAACCTTTTTCAAAACCGTTTTTGTTTTGCTCTCTCTTTTTTTTTTTTTTTTTTTTCTTTGTAAAAAAAAAAAAAATGGTTTCCTCTTACCACTCGCCACCCACGGCAACTCCCACGCCATTGCCGCCACTTCATCCCTTTATATATAAGCCTCTTCATTTCCTCTCCATTTCATCGTTCTAAACCACCGTTCTCTGATTTCCCGATTTCATATTTCGATCAAATCTCATCCATTCCTCAATCAATGGACACCAAAATCGGATCGCTCGATGCTTGCAAACCCGCCAACAACGCTGTCTGTTGTCCATCCAACGGCTCTGTTTGCACCATCCAAAATTCCGTCCCCTCCACCGTCGTCACCTCGTCGGAGGCTACACTTGGCCGCCACCTGGCGCGGCGCCTGGTCCAAATCGGTATCACCGATGTGTTCTCCGTTCCCGGCGATTTTAACCTGACGCTTCTCGACCATTTAATCGCCGAGCCTGGGCTCAACAACATCGGCTGCTGTAACGAGCTTAATGCTGGATATGCCGCTGATGGCTACGCCAGATCCCGCGGCGTCGGTGCGTGTGTCGTCACGTTCACCGTCGGCGGTCTTAGCGTTCTGAATGCCATCGCCGGAGCCTACAGTGAGAACTTGCCACTCATTTGCATCGTCGGTGGCCCTAACTCCAATGACTACGGAACTAACAGAATCCTTCATCACACTATCGGCCTCCCTGACTTCAGCCAAGAACTCCGATGCTTTCAAACCGTCACTTGCTTTCAGGTACTACACAAGATCTTATCGCATGCCTTTCTTTTCTGGTTCTAGATTTTTGTTGATTAATGAGGTGATTTCTTGTTTTTGTTTAGGCTGTTGTGAATAATCTTGAAGATGCTCATGAGTTGATTGATACAGCCATTTCTACTGCCTTGAAAGAAAGCAAGCCTGTTTATATAAGTATTGGTTGTAATTTGCCTGGGATTCCTCACCCCACCTTCAGCCGTGATCCAGTTCCATTTTCGCTTTCTCCCAAGTAAGTTCTGTTCAAGAATAAGTGCATAAATTGTTCTGTAATTTATTAGACGCTATTAGACGCACATTCACATCAGATAATTAAATTTCCTGGAAGTTTGGGGCCTAAGTTTATAATGGCATGTTAAAGAGGAACTTAGCTTTGAAATTATTGAATGGATTTCTGTGATGGGAACAGAGTGAGCAATCCACATGGGCTAGAGGCGGCAGTGGAGGCGGCGGCACAATTCTTGAACAAGGCCGTGAAGCCAGTGCTTGTTGGTGGGCCTAAATTGCGAGTTGCCAAGGGCTGTGATGCTTTTGTGGAGCTCGCTGATGCTTGTGGCTACGCCTTGTCTGTGATGCCATCGGCGAAAGGGCTTGTCCCCGAGCACCATCCTCATTTCATTGGAACTTACTGGGGCGCTGTCAGTACCTCCTTCTGTGCCGAGATTGTGGAGTCTGCTGATTCATACTTGTTTGCCGGACCCATTTTCAATGACTACAGCTCTGTTGGGTACTCTCTTTTACTCAAAAGGGAGAAGGCCATTATTGTGCAGCCCGATCGGGTGACCATCGGCAACGGACCCACATTTGGTTGTGTTCTAATGAAAGATTTCCTTCAAGCACTTTCAAAACGTGTTAACAAAAACACCACGGCATATGAAAACTACCATAGAATCTTTGTTCCTGAAGGCCATCCTTTGAAATCAGAACCCAAAGAAGCGTTGAGGGTCAATATTTTATTCCAACACATTCAAAAGATGCTCAGTGGTCAAACGGCTGTGATTGCTGAGACGGGGGACTCTTGGTTCAACTGCCAGAAACTTAAATTGCCAAAGGGATGCGGGTAAGCCATTGTTTGCCAAATTTACAATGATATCAACCGTTATGTTCAGATCCTAAAAAAGGTTATTTACTTTCCTCTTTTTGTTTGTTTGTTTGTTTATTTGCAGATATGAGTTCCAAATGCAGTATGGTTCTATTGGTTGGTCAGTTGGCGCCACTCTTGGATATGCACAGGCTGTACCAGAGAAGAGAGTAATTGCCTGTATTGGTGATGGAAGCTTCCAGGTAAAATTTGGTTTGATCGAACATTTCGAGTACGACTTTCGGTTGTTAATCGGTACTCCTTCACATCACAGGTGACTGCACAAGACATATCGACAATGATCCGTTGTGGACAGAAAACCATCATATTCTTGATAAACAATGGTGGTTACACGATTGAAGTCGAGATCCACGACGGGCCTTACAATGTGATCAAGAATTGGAACTACACGGCATTGGTCGATGCAATCCACAACGGGGAGGGGAAGTGTTGGACGACAAAGGTAAGTTGGTATCGAACTCTTTGGTTTGAGAGGTGCAGGGGAGGAGTAGGAGGAATCCTGTGTTTAATGAACGAATTCGGTGTTGCAGGTTCGATGCGAGGAAGAGCTTATTGAGGCCATTGGAACAGCCACAGGAGACAAAAAGGACAGCTTGTGTTTCATAGAGGTAATCGCTCACAAGGATGATACTAGCAAAGAGCTATTGGAATGGGGCTCTAGAGTCTCTGCTGCCAACAGCCGCCCTCCCAATCCTCAGTAAACAAACCAAAAAAAAAAAAAGAAAAGAAAAAAAGATATTAATAAAACTTCATCAACTTTGCAGCAATTTGCTTCCTCGTTATTGTGTTTGATTTGAGATTGTATTAGAAAAAAAAAAAAAACAAGTATTTTGTTGTGTAAATTCCTTCGAACATTTTCTTATCGAGAGCAATATCTTCTTGAGTTTTATATTCTCTGTTATAGTCTTTTCTTGGATTCCCTCTTGAGCACGTGCTCCTCACGTGATGTTTGGTTCAGTACGAAAATTAAAAAACGTTCAGACGCGACTGTAGAACACATTAAATAATATTAATAATAATACTTAATTGAAAACAATTTAAAAAAACGGCAGCTACATATGATGAAAGAAGAATGAAATTAGGTGAAGAACATTTGACTAATTAAACAAAGATTAATAAATATTTCATGTCTCAGGTTGCAGTTGTTCGTGGAGAAGCTGAAGTTTAAGGATTCTAAGAGCACGACAATCTGAGAGGAATGTTTTGTCTGGAGGCAAAGCTGGCTGTTTTTCTCGTTTATATTAGTGTCCCTTTGAACTTAAAATTAAAAATATTACATATTATATGGGTTGACCTGACCATCGATTTCTCTCTTTTTAAATGCTAATTATTCAAAAATTAGCAGCGAGACGACTCCCAAACTTGTGGTCAATGTGCCTGGTCGTCGAAGCAACTTCAAAATTTTCCCCATACTAAATCATCATGCTTCATTGCCGTTTCTTTTCTTCAAAATTCGTCCCCTTCTGTACGGCTATCCATTCCAATGGCGAATCTGCTGCTGCTACTCTACTTTCATGCCTTTTTCTCATACCCATATGGTCGATATTACTTCCAATTGAAACTAATATGGTGCTTGGACGATGCCCTGAGGATCAGCGGTCCCTGTTGCTCGAATTGAAGAATAATCTCACATACCAATCTCATTTGTCCGTCAAACTGGTTCAGTGGAATGAAAGTGTCGCGTACTGTAATTGGAAGGGTGTTACCTGTGATGACGCCTGTGTTATCGGTCTTGATTTGAGCGATGAGTTCATTTCCGGTGGGATTGATAATTCCAGTAGTCTTTTCCGTCTTCGGTTCTTGCGAAGTTTAAACTTGGGTCTCAACCGGTTCAATTCCACGATGCCGACTGGATTTGAGAGGCTTTCGAGTTTGAGTGTGCTGAATATGTCTAATTCTGGATTTTGGGGACAGGTTCCAATTGAGATCTCAAGCTTAACAGGGTTGGTTACGCTCGATCTTACTGGCTCATCTCTCTTTCAACCTTTTGACACTGAAGCTTGAGAACCCAAATTTGACGTCTCTTGTTAGCAATTTGACCAATTTGAGAGCTCTATATCTTGATGGTGTAGATTTATCAGCTGCGGGAAGAGAGTGGTGCAAGGCCTTATCGTCTTCACTGCATAATCTGAGAGTGTTGAGTTTGTCGGACTGTTCACTTTCTGGACCTCTTGATTCTTCTCTTGCGAAGCTTCAAAATCTATCAGAAATTCGTCTGGATAGCAACTTCTTTTCCTCACCGGTTCCCAAGGAATTTGCAGATTTCCCTAATTTGACTTCGCTGCATCTTAGCAATTCAAGATTATTTGGAGAATTCCCTCAAAGAATATTCCAGGTATCAACTCTTCAAACCCTGGACTTATCCCTGAATCTATTGCTGCAAGGTTCTCTTCCAGATTTCCAATTCAATGGATCCCTTCAAGTTCTTTCGCTTCGTGTCACAAATTTCTCCGGGTCACTGCCAGATTCTATTGGATATTTTAAGAACTTGACCAGATTAGACTTGACGAATTGCAACTTTGGTGGGTCCATCCCAAATTCTATCGAAAAGCTTACACAACTCACATATATGGATCTTTCGAGCAACAGATTTGTTGGTCCAATCCCATCCTTATCCTTATTGAAGAATCTTACAGTTTTGAACCTTGCTCATAATGGGTTGAATGGTTCCATGCTTTCCACTGAATGGGAAGAGCTTTCCAATCTTGTTAACCTTGACCTGCGTAACTATTCTCTCACTGGAAATGTTCCTTTATCTCTGTTCCATCATCCCGCAATCCAGAAGATTCATCTCAGCTACAACCAATTTACTGGTAGTTTGAATGAGCTCGCCGACGTGTCCTCGTTCTTACTTGATACCCTTACATTGGAGAGCAATCGGTTAGGAGGTCCATTCCCGTTGTCGTTTTTTAAACTTCGAGGTCTTAAGATTCTCTCACTTTCATTCAACAATTTTACAGGAAAATTGAATCTAGACATGTTCAAGCAGCTTAAGAATATGGTGAGACTTGAACTCTCAAGTAACAGTTTGTCAGTTGAAACAGAGAGCACTGATTCAAGTTCTTCCTTTCCTCAAATCACCACACTGAAGTTGGCTTCTTGTAACTTAAAAAAGTTACCCGACTTATTGAAAACCCAATCTCTGCTCAACTCTCTTGATCTCTCTGATAATGAACTTCAAGGAAAAGTACCTCTTTGGATTTGGGGACTCAGAACTGTTTCTCAATTAAATCTTTCTTGCAACTCTCTTGCTGGTTTTGAAGGATCACCGAAGAATCTTTCTTCCCGTCTCTATCTTCTTGACCTTCATTCCAACAGATTTGAAGGGCCACTTTCGTTCTTTCCTCCATCTCCTACCTATTTGGATTTCTCCAATAACAGTTTCAGTTCTGTTATTCCACCTGCGGTCGCAAACTACCTTGCGTCTACAATTTTCTTTTCTCTGTCAAGAAATTCTTTTGAAGGTAGTATTCCGAAATCCATATGCAGTACTATAAATCTTAAAGTACTGGATTTGTCTAGTAATAACTTGAGTGGCATGTTTCCCCAATGTCTAACTCAGAGGACTGATCATCTTGTGGTACTAAATCTCAGAGGAAACGCCTTAAATGGCCCTATTCCTACTTCATTTCCAGTTAATTGCAGTCTAAGGACTCTTGATCTAAGTGGAAACAACATTGAAGGGGAGTTACCGAAATCTTTATCCAATTGCCGTCATTTGGAGGTTTTGGACATTGGGAATAATCAGATACAAGACATCTTTCCATGCCCATTGAAGAACAAATCCACTTTGCGGGTACTTGTTCTTCGCTCGAACAAATTTCATGGAAGTTTTGGATGTCAGGAGAGCAATGGCAGCTGGGAGAGCCTGCAAATTGTGGACATATCTCGAAACAACTTCAATGGCGGTATTTCTGGGAAGAGCATAGTAAAATGGAAAGCAATGGTGAATGAGGAAGATTATAGCAAGTCAAGAGCTATTCACCTTCGTTTTAGTTTCTTCAAATTCAGTTCTGTGAACTATCAAGACACAGTAACCATTACAAGCAAAGGTCTGAACGTTGAACTGAAAAAAATTCTAACAATCGTCACATCCATCGACTTCTCCTGCAATCACTTTGATGGGCAGATACCTAAAGAAGTCGGGCAACTTAGGGCGCTTTATCTTCTCAACCTCTCACACAATTCTCTATCGGGTGAAATTCCTTCATCCATAGGAAATTTGAGTCAGCTGGGTTCTTTAGACCTTTCAAATAACAGGCTTAATGGCATAATCCCTTCAGATCTTGCAAGACTATCGTTTCTAGGAGTATTGAATCTCTCCTACAATCTGTTGGTTGGTAAGATCCCTATCGGCCCTCAAATCCAAACATTTTCACCAGATTCCTTCGTAGGTAACGAAGGATTATGCGGATCCCCTTTGCCGAAGGAATGCAAAACTGATATTCGACCATCTTCAGATACAAGAACCTCAGCAGGGGGGGTTTCAGAAAATGAATTTGAATGGCAATACATAATAATTACCTTTGGATTCATATCAGGTGCGATCACGGGTGCAATCGCCGGTCTTTGGGTTTGGGAGAAAAAATCCGATACTTTGATGAGATGGGCCTCGGCTTTAGGTTTTGGTATCAAGAAAAGGGTTTAAATCTTATTTGATATTGAATTTTCCTTTTCTAAAATATCATATTCATGAATTGGCGGTCACTTCACTTAAACTCGAATTAATTCTGATGTGGATTTGAGATTTATATGCTTTTAAATAACGTTCCAAAAAAGGTCACAGTCGAACAAATAAACAAAATTATAAAAATAAACAAAATAGTTATTTTAAACTTTTGGTTTAACGTTATAAAAGTAAATAAAATTTTCTTAAACTTGAACAAGTTTTTGGAAACGTTCAGATTGTTGGATGATGGAAGTCCCACGTCGACTAATATAGGGTGTGATCATGGGTTTATAACTGAGGAATACTACTTCCATTGGTATGAGGCCTTTTGGGGAAGCCCAAAGCAAAGCCATGAGAGGTTACACTCAAAGTGGACAATATCATACCATTGTGGAGAGTCGTGTTCGTCTAACACAGATTACTTTTTGTTTAAAATGCTATTTTGTATTCCTATTTTTAAAGTTAGATTATAAATATTAATTTTATAAATTTTGGAAAAATTATGTTGGAGTAACTGCATTTTAAATATGATTTTGCAAATATGAAAATTGATTGAAATAAAAACAATGCTTTTTGACCTTTTTACATAGCCGATGAATTTTGTGCCATATTTGTAAGTTATGATTGTTATTTGTGTGATTGGCCCATTAAGGTTGAGCAACCTTAATTAGATAATTGAAAGGATAATAATTAAGATATAATGGAACCCAACTAATTTTGACCAAAATAATACTTTAATTTTAATGTTTTAAAACCTAATTTTTAGATTATAATTTAAGGGATCAAGTCGCCACTATTTTTTTTTTTTTTTTTTTGCCGTTTTTTATTAAAATAAATATGTATTGAAAATATGAAATCTCTATTATCGCTCGTATTGAATACTTGAAGCAATGAACAAATTAATTGAGTTTAAAATAATTTATGTTTAATTTAATAAAATAGGCCTGCCTTTCATTTGTAAAATAATAAATTGATTAATCTCGGAAACATAACTAAAAATTACTTGTTAATGATTGTTGACTCATGGAAATATTGGTGAACTAATTCTAATAGCCGACAACCTCGCAGATTTGTTTTTTTTTTTTTTTTTTTTTTTTTTTTTTTTAATAATTTATATGCATTATTTTTAAAAGATGAAATAGTTTTTTTCTTCTGAAGTATAGTGGTAGGTAATGATTTAATTTAATTTAAAATTCAAAATAATAACAAGGATAATGATAAATTAATAAATTATATATATGAAAATATCATTGTTTATAAATTGCACGATAATTTCAGATAAATTTTTATAAACATAATTTATTTTTATTAAAATTGATGGCCAAAATGAATTTTTTAAGCTCCAAATACTAGAAGACTTGAGGAGAATGGAGTAAAATACGTTGTAATGTTGTATAGGTAGGAGAAAAATGAAATCCGTAGCGTTGCGGCGGCGGAAATTTTGGTATTGGGTTCACATAGACGCGGTTTATGTTGAATGCGCTTCCATCGCTGACCATTCCACCGTCCTTGAATGCCATTTCCCCTAATTTCTCTTTTCTCTTCATTCTTCGTCTTCCTCTCTGTTCTTCGTCTTCCCGCATTTGTTTCTTCGCATTCGGATTCTGGTCCTGCCGAACCCACACATGTCTGGGGGTCAACCTGGTGGCTTATGAACTTCCTTAAACTCATTACTAATTCACACCACTTTCCCCATTTCTTATCCGTATGGACCTTTCCAGTAGTCGGCCCCGATGAGAAATCTGATATTTTCATGCATTTTTTTGATATTCAATTCCTCGATTTTACTTAGCATAGGAAATCTTGTGGTCTCTGGACGATGCCCTGAGGATCAGCGGTCTCTGTTGCTCGAATTCAGGAATAATCTCACGTACAAATCTAATTTGTCCGTGAAACTGGTTCAGTGGAATGAAAGTGTCGATTACTGTATTTGGAAGGGTGTTACCTGTGTTGACGGCTGTGTTACTGGTCTTGATTTGAGCGATGAGTTGATTTCTGGAGGGATTGATAATTCCAGTAGTCTTTTCAGTCTTCGGTTCTTGCGAATTTTGAACTTGGCTTTCAACAGGTTCAATTCCACGATGCCGTCCGGATTTGAAAGGCTTTCGAATTTGAGTGTGCTGAATATGTCTAATTCTGGATTTGGAGGCCAGATTCCTATTGAGATTTCAAGCTTAACAGGGTTGGTTATGCTCGATCTCACTAGCTCGTCTCTTTTTCAAGCTTCGACACTGAAGCTCGAGAACCCAAATTTGACGACTCTTGTTCATAATCTGAGCAATTTGAGAGTTCTATATCTTGATGGTGTTGATTTATCAGCTGCAGGAAGTGAATGGTGCAAGGCCTTATCGTCTTCGCTGCATAATCTGAGAGCGTTGAGTTTGTCCGGCTGTTCACTTTCTGGACCTCTCGATTCTTCCCTTGCGAAGCTTCCAAATCTATCAGAAATTCGTCTGGATAGCAACAACTTTTCCTCACCGGTTCCCAAGGAATTTGCAGATTTCCCTAATTTGACTTCGCTGCATCTTAGCAATTCAAGATTATTTGGAGAATTCCCTCAAAGAATATTCCAGGTATCAACTCTCCAAACTCTGGACTTATCCCTGAATATGTTGCTGCAAGGCTCTATTCCAGATTCCCAATTCAATGGATCCCTTCAAGTTCTTTTGCTTCGTAACACCAATTTTTCTGGGGAACTGCCAAATTCTATTGGGTATTATAAGAACTTAACCAGATTAGACTTGACGAGTTGCAACTTTGGTGGGTCGATCCCAAATTCTATTCAAAAGCTCACACAACTCACATATATGGATCTTTCGAGCAACAGATTTGTTGGTCCAATCCCATCCTTATCCTTATTGAAGAATCTTACTGTTTTGAACCTTGCTCATAATAGGTTGAATGGTTCCATGCTTTCCACTAAATGGGAAGAGCTTTCCAATCTTGTTAACCTTGACTTGCGTAACAATTCCCTCGCTGGAAATGTTCCTTTATCTATATTCCATCTTCCCGCAATTCAGAAGATTCAACTCTGCAACAACCAATTTAATGGTAGTTTGAATGAGCTCTCCAACGTGTCTTCTTTCTTACTTGATACCCTTACTTTGGAGAGCAATCGGTTAGAGGGACCATTCCCATCGTCGTTTTTTGAACTTCGAGGTCTTAAGATTCTCTCACTTTCATTCAACAATTTTACTGGAAAATTGAATCTGGACATGTTCAAGCAGCTTAAGAACATAACAAGACTTGAACTCTCAAGTAACAGTCTATCAGTTGAAACAGAGAGCACTAATTCAAGTTCTACCTTTCCTCAAATGACCACACTGAAATTGGCCTCTTGTAAGTTAAAAAAGTTCCCTGACTTCTTGAAAACCCAATCTCTTCTCAACTCTCTTGATCTCTCTGATAATGAACTTCAAGGAAAAGTACCTCTTTGGATTTGGGGACTCAGAACTGTTTCTCAATTAAATCTTTCTTGCAACTCTCTAGCTGCTTTTGAAGGATCTCCAAACGATCTTTCTTCCCGTCTCTATCTTCTTGACCTTCATTCCAACGTGTTTGAAGGGCCACTCTCGGTTTTCCCCCCATCTGCTTCCTATTTGGATTTCTCCAATAACAGTTTCACTTCTGTTATTCCACCTGCGGTTGGAAACTACCTCGCGTCTACAGTTTTCTTGTCTCTCTCAAGAAATTCTTTTGAAGGAAGTATTCCGGAATCCATATGCAATGCTACAAGTCTTCAAGTACTGGATTTGTCTAGTAATAACTTGAGTGGCATGTTTCCCCAATGTCTAACTCAGAGGACTGATAATCTTGTGGTACTAAACCTTAGAGGAAACGCCTTGAATGGCTCCATTCCTAATACATTTCCAGTTACTTGCAGTCTGAGGACGCTTGATCTAAGCGTAAACAACATCGAAGGGAAGGTACCGAAATCTTTATCCAATTGCCGACAGTTGGAGGTTCTGGACCTTGGGAATAATCAGATACAAGATGTCTTTCCATGCCCATTGAAGAACATATCCACTCTGCGGGTGCTTGTTCTTCGCTCGAATAAGTTTCATGGGAAGTTTGGATGTCATGAGATCAATGGCACCTGGAAGAGCCTGCAAATTGTGGACATATCTCGAAACAACTTCAATGGCAGTATTTCTGGGAAGTGCATAGTAAAATGGAAAGCAATGGTGAATGAGGAAGATTATAGCAAGTCAAGAGCTAACCACCTTCGTTTTAATTTCTTCAAATTCAGTTCTGTGAACTATCAAGACACAGTAACTATTACCAGCAAAGGTCTGGACGTGGAGCTCCAAAAAATTCTAACAGTCTACACATCCATCGACTTCTCCTGCAATTCCTTCGATGGGCAGATACCTATAGAAGTGGGGCAACTTAGAGCGCTTTATGTTCTCAACTTGTCACACAATTCTCTGTCGGGTGAAATTCCTTCATCCATAGGAAATTTAAGTCAGCTGGGTTCTCTAGACCTTTCTAGTAACAGGCTTAGTGGCACAATCCCTTCACAGCTTGCAAAACTTTCGTTTCTAGGAGTGTTGAATCTCTCCTACAATCTGTTGGTTGGTATGATCCCGAATGGCCCTCAAATCCAAACATTTTCACCAGATTCCTTCGCGGGTAATCCAGGATTATGCGGAGCCCCTTTGGCGAAGGAATGCAAAACCACCACCCATTCAACTTCAGACACAAGATTCTCGGAGTCATCTTCAGCAGCTGATGCTGATTGGCAATTCATATTCATTGGAGTTGGGTTCGGAGTAGGAGCAGCTGCAGTTGTTGCTCCTCTTATGTTTTTGGATGTCGCAAGAAAATGGTCGGACGAAACGGTTGACAAAATTATTCTGGTCATTCTTCCATTGATGGGATACATGTACCTGACTTCCAGTGAACGCAAAATCGAAGCAGAAGAAGATGATGATAGTGAAGATGAGGATTACATTGCTGTTGTTGGGTATGAAAATGAAGGAAGT